GTGCCTTTAAAGCCAACCTCCACATTTTTGCTGACACCAAAGCGTTCATTAATTTCTTCAGACAGACTGCGTGGAACTCCCAGGGGTGGAGCACGAGTGTTTAACGACGATGAAACAGTCGCATAGCTAAAACTGTCCCCATCACATAACAGACCATCCGTTGGTGAACGTAAATTGCCAACGGCCCCAGCTTGTGCGTTGGGTCCTGCTAAATTACGATACTTAGCAATATATTCGTTTGTCACAGATGTGAGATCTCTTCGTCGTGATGTGGCTTCAGTGGAGCGTTGTCGCCGTCGCTTTTCTCGTGCAATCAGATCTTTACCTTCTTGTACCAACTCAGTGGCAATAGTTTCATTTTGAAGAAATTGTTGAAATCCCATGGCGTTCAACGCTCGACTCCCCAAACTAAACCAAGTTGTGAGGCAAAATGCCAACATACACATTGGAAAGTAAATATTAAAGCCGTCCGAGATAATGCCTAAAACATCCATATGACCCATTATTTGGGTATAGTAGGTTTCGAGAATACGCTAAAAGTTAAGAATAAATTAATACTTTTAGTTAAAAATTAAATCAAGCTTACCTCTTTAATTATATGCGAATCCATGTGAATTAGTCCTAGAAAATTTAGGCACATGGGTGGCGTCAGTCGGCACAACAACATACCGCTAAATATCAAACTATGCTCATTGGTTTGATGATGAGGAGCCAAATAATATAAATTCAGGAAACGTATTCGGAGAATCGTAGAGTAAGTGCAATAAAAGAGATAGCAAAGCACAGTCATGGAAAATAGCTCTATTGTGAAGAAGTCGTAACTATACTTGGCCATATTAATAACATTCGCAAATATGGACAGAACTGGTCGCCGATTAAAAAAGGTAAGCTCACTCCATACGACCATAAATGACATGATTGTAGTGAAAACACATAGAATCTTCAAAAATGGTGATTTATATAAACACTCCCAATACCAGTGTAGTGTTGGGCTATAAATGGCAGTACCAAGCTGAGTTCGCTTTGGTGGGAATTCAGCTTTAAATCGCCGGTCTGCTGAGTGCATATTACGTGATACATCTTCCAAATGCAAAACTCTCTGCACTTGCACGCTCCAAAGGGATTCGCTTCGTTGTAATGTCTGTAAGGATTTTATCACTTGTTTATGTATACGCACTAAAGCCCTTTCTGAAGGAACAATCGTTGAGGTGCCACCATTTCCTCCTGCTCGGGTATAGTTGCGTACCGCGCGTTCCAACAGTTCAGTTGGCACTTTACGCAGTATAGTTTCTACACAGGGACGTAATTCGTGATTATTAGGAACGGCGCGGCTTATGCCCTGTAGTGACTCTAGCACATCATCTACAATCTCCTCAGCCTCCGCCTTATCTGTGCTGAGTTTAGCTGCTTTGAAATAAGCATATTCTAAGGTAAAGCCCGGCTTGGCGTTGTTCCACAGTGAACGTGGCACTTCAACAAGCGCGTAACCTAAAAATATATAATGAAAAATTAGTCTACAATGTATGTAAATACATACATAAGTACATAGACAATTGATTTGTACGATAAGTGTCACCGGAAAGGAATCCACATATGGGGCTCAAGGAAAGCCAAAAAAGGAACTACATTGCAAAACTACGGGTCTAACCTTTTTATTTCTCTATTTCGAAATTTAATTTTTAATTTTCATGCATACTTCGCATAACTTCGCATAACCAGTGCAATAAAAATATGTGATGCAAAATCTAAACTCAACAGATAGCTAAGTTTTTTAAAGTTCTGCTAATTTCTGCGTAACGGAATACATACAAAGTACAAAGTTATGCGAAGTATGCATAATCAGACCATAACAGCATATCGTTCTTGAGATTTTGGAACGATCTAACTGATCAATATGTTCTTGTATTGCAAACCAGCACATTTTTGTGTTCTTGTATACAAAAAACTTCCAAAGTAGAGAAAATTGAGAGCAAATGACATTTTGTTTTGAGGGGAAGCTGCAAAATTATGAATTTAGAATTGGTAAGTCGATGTTTAGACACGGAAACTTTTGTTGCGGCAGCTCGAAGCTTGTAGGGGAGAGAGCGACGAGGAAAGGGGACGGGCCCATGAACCAACTAATAAGATCACGCAATCGGAAAAGAATGAAAAAAAGTAAATTTCTGAGCGTTTTTGACATCTGCCTAAGAATGAAAACAAACAAAGAAAATGAAAAATGCGCGGTGATTGAGTGCGATTAAATTGGTATTTATCATGATACAAAAAAGAAGGTAGTTCAATTGTCACTTTTTCGTCGCCATATTAACAACCTGACAATTAAGCAGATTGTGACATTTCTTGCTCCCATATCCAATATCTAAAGTCCTTCAAATTTTATTATTAATTTTTTGTTTATTTAAAGCATTTTGTTCTTATAATCGAAATTTGAACAAGCAAACGGTCTTTTGTTGGGTATGGTTCGGTTATTTGTCCAATGATTTTGGGTTATTGTGTTCACACGCGTATCCCAAATAAAAAAAATGTGAACATACGTCTGCGATAAAAGGATTAAAATTTGATTTAAAATAAAGATTTAAAATTTTCGAACACTAAATTGTTAACAAACTCGGTGTGAAATATGCACCTCTTTGTAAAAAATACCGTGTAGCCGGAGTTGGGCAGATTAGGGTTATTTTTTCTAAACGCGGCCGAAGGCCTCCAACGCGGAGAGGTAGTCTGCGAGCTTACATTTTCTGGCAAAATGCTAAGTTTACCCCATTTCAAATGAGTGCCGAGCGATCAGAGAGGTAAAGGGTGACTTGCCTTAAAGTTTGGACCGTTCTCTTTCTAATGGGTGGAGTCATCAATTTTTTTTTCACACCCGCTCCAATATTGAACAGTGAACCATATTTAAGGGATTCGCATAAAAGTGGCATTATGAAATTTCACACCGTTAAAAAAGTATTTGGTTGTGGTTTCAAGTCCTCTAAACATTCGTTTAGCCGTTCAAAACTTTACGACACACGACAATAGGACACTTACGACACCTTGTGAACCACCTAAATATGTATTAAATTCACACCGAAATGTGTATATCAGAAACAATTATATATCGAAGAGTATAGAAAACCGTAATAGTCCTGGCTAGATACATTGTAAAATAATCAGTTGACAAAAAGACACAAACAAGTTTGAAAACCCCTGCATATACATTGTATATGCTCACTAAAATTGAGTTATGGCGGCATAAACTGTCAAAATCTGTAAGAGTGTGTGTAGAAATTCAAACAAAATTTTTCAATTTGATATCAGAAGCTATGCGGCGAAACACATACACAAAATCAGCTGAGCTAGTAACACCACCTTATATAAATTCGCCTTGGTGAAAACCTTTAAAGTGAAATCAATATATGAGATAAGTATTTATTTTTAATACGCTTATATGAAAAAGGTATTTGAAGCTAGCAACATTATAAATTAATTTCAAAATAAAAAAATTTTGATTTCAGATCAAAAAATAATTGTTTTAGGAATTAAAGAACAAAAAGAAAAAAATTGTTTAAAATGCCAGATACTTGCTGTTTATGCAAAAGCACCCACAACAATGAGGTAGGTATGTTTCGTTTGCCAACAGATGTTACGCAAAGAAGGGAGTGGATGAATGCGTGTGGTGTTAAACTGACTGCGCTCTGCACTTCAAATCGAATGAAATCATTTATGGAAGTATTAATGATCCAGATGCAGTACCATCAAAGATGTTACCTGCTATTTCATCAGATGAGAGGTAATGATCAAAGAGTGGGTATGTTCTCAAAGGCATATCGTGAAAATAATGTCCAATAACAAATACAACCGGAGTGCGCCAAACAGATGTGAAGTATCGCATAAAATGTATACTTTCGCCAATTTAGTAATAATAGATGGTTCTGAATTGCAGTAATTAATTTGAGAAAGAATACTAAATCTTAATGTGTATATATATACATACTATATACTAATTTTTTTGCTAAAATCGAGAAAATCAGGAAATTTCTACTGCAACTCTCATAAATTCTGAAAAAAAAATATTGCAACTTTGAAAATCTAACTCAATAAAATTCTGTAATAGGGCGTTCTTAAACTAAATTTTGAAATAGTGGGTTGTTGAGGGTTTCGTTAAAATCGAGAAAATCAGGGAAATTCTAGTGCAACACGCATAAATTCTAAAAAAAAATATTGCAACTTTAAAAATCTATCTCAATCAAATTCTGCAATAGGGCGTTCTTCAAATAAATTTTGAAATAGAGGGTTGTTGAAAAGTTTTTTGAGATAGGACATTTTTGAACTGGCTGCCGAGATAAATGACACTAATGGTGTTTTCGTTTCTACCAAAAAATGCCACCTTTTGATTGCCCCTTCCTCTTTTCGTGCGTTAATAAGGACTAAATTTGCAGTGATACCCTATAACAGGGTTGAGTGTAACACCAAATACATTTTGCACCGTGGAAGGGCAACATTTTTTTGAAGAAACGAAATCACTATAAGTCAGTTCCATTTGGTGTTCCCGACGCAGATAAGTTATTCCTCTTCTCTTACCAACGCGACGACGACCCTTTTCAAGGGTATGGGAATGTTTTCTATACCAACATGACCTTGCAATAAAAGAAGTTGTGTTGGAATTCGCTAAGCCATAACGCATTCTTACATACATATGTATGTAGCTTTTGTTATATGCTTCATTGTACCATACGTGAACCAAAGCCGAAAGAGGGTTAATGTAAACAAATATACGAATTGTTTACATTTATATTTTCAAATAAGCGTACGTCAAATATTGATTTCACTTTGTTTATTACATTATGCTTTTTACTAAAAAATTCAATTACAGACGATATATTTGACCGATTTTGACAAATCAACCGTTATTTTTATAGTTATTAAAATTTCTTCTAGAACATAGTTTTATTAATTTTAATATAATTTTTAAGGGTAAATTTTTAAAAATTGTTGGTAAAAATATAAAAATAATAATTTTCTCCGCCGCTTATTCACACAGAAAAAAACACATATCGTCGTTTAAAGTACAAAACCGCGTATCGTCATTCTGCAAAAACCGCGTAACTGGCATTGGCTGCCAAAAATTGGATTTGCTCACACAAGCTCTTGGCTCAATCCTTATCCATTCGTCCTGAAATATACTAGCCAGAAATGCGTTTTCTTTATAAAGAGAACCATTTGAAATATGAGTGTTTTTACTCTCTAGAGAATAATGTATGCAACCTCACATACGCGGTTTTGCATTTTCTTGATACGCGGTTTCGCATTTTGTTGATACGCGGTTTTGCACTTTAAACGACGATATGCAATATTTTACTCTCTAAAATATTCTGTCGATGAAAAAAAATGGATCGCAACATGGAAAACTGTTATTTTTAGTTGAAGGCTCACGCGCAACGCAACGAGCGCGTTCGAACTTATTTTAGTCAAGTGCGTCTGAAACCAGCGTGCCCTCACCGGCTTATTCCCACATTCACACGACAGCCGGTTTTATGTACCGGAATGACTCGGTTTTTACCCGACCAAGGGCTGTTGTTTTGGCGATCACACCCCGTTTAGGTCGGCTAAGTATCTCAAAAGTTGTTGGTCCATAGGGCTACATTCGCCACGTATTCTTCTGCTCAGGGCTGGCATCGAGTCAAGCCCAGGGCCAGAAACCTACACCTGCTGTGTATGCCAGAGACGACTACACCACAACTCCACCTCAGTCAAGTGCAATGCCTGCGAGGGGTGGAGTCACCTCAGACTCTGCTCAGGATTACGGACACATCGGCAGTGGACCACGTCGTTTGTGGCCCCCTGCTGCTCAAATAGAGCCCCAGCCCACCTGAGCAGCTCCACACAAACACCACAGCACAAGAACATAACAACACAATAGACCACACCACAACCACGACAGACCACAAAACATACACAACCTCACCACCACCCACACGCCGCCGCCAACAACTCTTGGTTCCTCCTACAATCTGCACGGTATGTCAGACCAGGATATTCCGTAATGTGACATCAGTCAAGTGCAACACCTGCCTTGGCTGGTGCCACTTTAGGGCATGTTCAGGTCTGCGCACCACGCGGGATTGGACGAGGAACTTCGAAGGCCCGTGTTGCGCTGCACGGTCGCAAACCCCAACTGCGACGCCACCCACCACCACCACAGGGCGGGAACCACCACAGCAGCGCACACGGCCAATGGCGTCAAGGCCACACACATCTCTCACACCCCGCATTACCACACGTCTCCCGAACCACATGAAGCTCCTTCAATTTAACTGTAACGGGCTTCAGAGCAAGATCGAGGAGATAACCGTGGGAAGGCATGGTGTATTGATAGCTGCGGTCCAAGAGACGAAGTTGCACAGCAATTCAACATTGTTGAATTGTGCCGGGTACAACATGCACCGTCGAGATCGCGAGCGAGATAATGGTGGTGGCTTAGCGTTCATCAGACCATCTGCACATAGTCATCTCGATCGA